ATAATGGAATCTTGAAGATTGTTCCATATATAAATGTTTCATCTCAAATGAAGATTGTCCATTTGAAGGCTACAAGCAGCAGACCAGCTTATGGGAGCAGATGTCTCCCCACACAACCCTCAGGAGTTTTTTTGACCTTGAAACAGCTTGCTTGAAGCTTTTGAGATTGAAAAAAGTTTTAAATGCTGGCTAAAATTCTGAATTTGGTACCCAGCTCTTCAGTAACTTGTTATGACCAGTTTAGCTTTTTATTAGTATAATTTAGAAAAAGAAGTGTTTCTGATTTAGTCATGAAATTTTTCAGAAATGTCAATATATTTTCTTTTAAGGTTCTGTCAAAGAATAAGTTGTTATTTAATCAATATTTGTCATTGTGAATAACTGTATGTAAAGGTCAATACATATCATATCATATCATGGTTCTGGGAAACAGTATTTCAGTAAATATGAAATACTTCACTGGAAGTAAGTACAAAAAATACCTAATACTCAAAATAACCCAAAAGAAATGAGAAATCCCACCTGATATATTGTAGAAATTAATTTGAAGCATATTATTTTTGACTCCCTAGCCATATTCTGTATTTTCATTTTAAGTTCTCAATGACTTTTTTATCTGCCTCTGTACTGTTTGTACATCTAAAAATTTCATTGCTGTAAACAGGAGACTTGGATATGTGATGAATGAAGTGTTGCAGCTGCCTGAGTAAGAAATTTCTGTGGAGCTAAAGATAGACTTGTCTCTTGTATCTATCCTTTGGCAGAGAAAAAGGGTGATTGAAGAGAAGTAGAGTATATGAAAGCACAGCTAAAATACAGACACACTGACATTATAATACAGTGTCTCATCGGGTGATGTGGTGTTTTGACTACATGCCTGCAGCAGGTCTATAATTTAAATGCCATTAATGGCACACAAAACAATAGTGTGGAGACAGGAATACTGTAAAATCTCTGGGTCTGTACTTAAAATGCAGATGAAATAACCCTTTGAACTTGTAATGCCAAGTGTTGTCCAAAGTTACCATTCCTCCATGAGGAAAGCAGTTTGTTTTTGTGGTGTTTTATGTCTTCTTCTCCTAGCACAGACATCTTCTGTTTAGATTGCTTGGCTTGTGTCACTGCAAAAATCCCAGGCCAAGGGGGGCTGGTTCTATTTTGCCTCACTCATGTCCAGTTCACACATTGGGTACAGAATTCACTATTGTCAATAGTCATGACTGTGTTTTCTTTGTGCTCGTTGTCTTTTGAATATGCTTCTTTATCCTTTTCCTAGAGTCACACACAGCACTAGCTTCACCAGAATCTCTTGGTGCTCAGCTGTAACTGAGTTACACATAGTCCTGTGACTGAACCCAAGCTATAATATCTCATTTGTTTCCACTTGGCTGTTGTAATGTTTTCTACTGCTTAAACTTCTTGTCCTTTCCCTTGCTCCCTTTTTTCCTTTTTCTTTCATGACCCCATTTAAAATTGTATCTGACTTAGTTTTTCTTATTCAATTTAACTGTGTGTAAGCACATGTTTCTGTACCCTCACAGATTTAATGCACCTTGGTGTAATGTTTGCTCTAATTATTTGCCAAATTGGAGTGAGTCTTTCCAGAAACAGTTCCTGATCTTTGAAAACCTTGGAAAATGTATACAATATGTTAATTGTGAAGCTTTTTTCAGAGCATATTTCAAAGGAGGAGAAGAAACGCTGTGTAAGTAAAACTCGTTTACAGTGCTCCCTCCACCACTTCTAACAGGAGACTGTTACAATAGTTGCATTATTTCTTTATCCTGATCAAATGCCTTTGTAAGTCTCACTTAGGCTTCCCCCCCCCCCCCCCTTTAAACTGGTTCACTGTGTAGGTCTGGTACTATACCATGTCAATACTTAGCTGTTCCTAATTTTGGCTAAGTGGATGAACTCCTTCAAAATATTCATGCAGTGTTAACAAAACTTAATGCCAATTTATACTCCATGAACTATAACAAAATATTAAAAGTTGTTAAAGGCATAGGCATGGAATTTCAGCAAAGTGGTTTCTCTTTATAGTACAAGTCTCAAATTTGAATGTGGGTAGTTAGGTATGCCTTTCTTTTCCCACTTAAAAACAAATAATACATAATATTCAAAGCGTATGGAGTAGACATGGATCTACTTAATACTGAAGGTAAATAGAATTGAAGAAGAATAATTAATTTATTCTTATTAATTTTGTATTAATTTAGCAACTTTGCATCTTAGTACAAGTAATTTATTGGGCATTTTCTTTATCTAGTGTGTCTCAAGTGTATAGAAAGAGGGTCTTTCAAGTCTGTGATCATCAAAATGGCTTTCTACTAAACCTCTGCATTCATAGAACAACTCAGGTTCTTCCAAAATAGCGATGTTAATATGTACAAAGATGAAATCTTATTAATGTTTTGACCTTGGAAGGATTCTTGATCAGAACAGTCAATAAAATACAAAATGGTACAATTGGCTAACAGAAAGCAATTGTCTTTGTTTATTTCTTTCTCAGTGTAGTGGGTTCAGTGCTGGCTCAGCCTACTTGGTTTTTCCCTTAACCAAAACCCAAGCCACTTCAAACTGCTGCATTCAATAATATTAATAAAGAAACACTTTATGTAGGCCACCATTCCTGGCTACTGCAATCAGTACTTTTCAGTTTTGTCTGAAGTGAAGCTAATAATTTGTCTTGCACTTGTTGCCACAAACTCTGAAGAGCAACATGAAACCAAAGCAGAATTTCAGAGAAGTAATAAATAGCATTTACCCAAACTTGTTTTTAGTTAGATAAGAGCATGAGTTAGTGAAATAACTCTCCTTAGTGATAGGTTTGGTAAAATCAGTCTTAATTATCACACTGTTTTCCTACCTAGGAAATAATTTCTGAAATGCGATTTAAATATAGAGTGAATCTGCACAATTTCTCCGTGTCAGAAAAATGCACTATGCACTTTGACAAATTTTCCCTTATACCTTGTACACAAGTAATTTCTTCAGTACCAGGATGGTTGTTAGTTTTCTGTGATCAGCCCCAAGTATATTTTATAACCTGAGCACAGTTCATTTCCTGATGTAGCAGTGCAGTCCCAGCTGCCCTCACAAGAACAGAATTCCAGATGTTCCTGTTTTGCTCTATGGAGCAGTGCTGTAATTGTTGGACAGCAAGGATACAATTTGGCTCTCTGATAATGCTGTATCTGTAGAAATAATTTCACTGTGGCTGTAGGAATGTGTGTATACATTAGGAAGGAAACTCTATTATGGATTTCAGTCTTTAAATGCATTCATATGGCCCAGGTGATTGCAAGAACCACTTGGATTTAAGAATATCATTATGACATTTTAAGTGTCATGTAAGGAAGGAATTAGCCATTATCTAAAGCAGCGTACATGGTAACACAGCCAGTGATTTGAACCTGTCATTCATTTAATAATTCACAGTGGAAAAGGCATGTGAGATCATTGTGTCCAACAGCAAAACTAACACTGCCAGGTCTACTACCTAAATCTTGTCCCAGAGCACCATGTGTGCATGTCTTTTAAGTACCTCTAGGGATGGTGACTTCATCACTTCTCTGGGAACCCTTTTCCAATGCTTGACAGACTTTTTGGTGGAGAATTTTTTCCTAATATCAAAACTAAATGGCCCCTGGTGCAACTTCAGGCCATTTTCTCTTATCCTATCACTCGTTACTTGGGAAAAAAGGACACTTGATACTCAGATATGCTCTGCTTCAGCCTCCTGTAAGGTACTTATAGAGAGTGATAAATTCTCCCCTGGGCCTCCAGACTTCATAATCCCAGTTCCCTCAGTTTCTCCTGGATGGACTTGGGCTCTAGACCCTCCAATTTAATCATGCAACTGCTTGCTCCAGTCACGATTACAGTTTGTATCTATGTAAGAGTTTCTGGATTTTCAGCTTCGGTGTTTCTCCTGCTCTTTCATGGAGCTATTTTTATAGGAGACTGAAAGCTTAATTAAGCTTAGAGTCTGTAAAAAAAAAAAGCATGTGAGAACACCTTTAGTTGTGGTTGTTCCTATATTTTTGGTATTATTTCAGAATATGTCCTACTATGGTCAAATGTGTATCTGTTCGAATTTCTTGAATGTATTCATGACTGGGTTGGGGGCTGGTCCTGGGTTCCTTTCACACTTAATAGCTCCATTAAATACTGTGAGTATTCTGGTTGTGAGTTATCCCATTTTAAGTCATCTCTACAGAATATTTAAATGCCTTCGTGATCAATTGGTTAGGGCAGAAATCTTCTCATGTACCAATTATAGTTGCCACTTGTGGCAGAAAAGATCAAATGGGAATTATTTGTATTCTGAAACTCTCTGTGGCCATTTCTATTTTCCAAATTGGTTTAGACTGAAAATTACTTTTTTTAGCAAAATTGAGCAAGACAGATTCTTGATTTCATGTGATGATACTGATGTTTTATTGTAATAGGAATTTGTAATCAAGATTATAGAAACTGCTAACAGCATGCAGTTCTGCCTTCAGGATAAGAAAAATGGTGATGATTCCTGGAATCCTACTTTGTGGGAAAAAGATTGGAGGGGCTAACAACATGAACTTAGGAGTGTGGAGAAAAGGATCTTCTCTCCCTTCTGGGCAAGTAGAGTTGAACATTCAGTTTGCTTTGTGGTTTAGGTTTATTACTAAACTCTTGAGCAGCCTGGAGGCATTTCCTAAATGAGACTGCAGCTACACAGCTTTTAAACTCAATTAGCCCTCTCTCCTGTGCTCTGCATGCCCTGTCAGTTCTAATGGACTTGGCTTGGCTCTGTGAGAAAGGGAAGGTGTGGGGGTCTGCACAACCAGCCCCCTTCTTCCCCCAGACTGGGTGCAATTCCCACATCTTATTGTGGCCCTTGGACAGCAGCAATTTAAAGGTTCTCCAGAATGTTAAAATGTTAATTTTGCCTAAGGAGGAAGGCTGGGGAAAAAATGGGTAGTCATTCAACAGCAAAGAAACAAGTTAGCTTCTACTACCTGATGTGAGACTCCATCAGGGTGGAAAGAATGCCAAACTGGGCTGGACTTTGTGTCATATCAACAGAATGGGCTGGCCCAGTGCCTTTGTTCCACAGTGATCTTCTGAGTCTTGCGGTCTGCAAAATGCAAACATGAGAGAAAGCTATCCTATGACAACTAACAGCAAAAGAAGTGTCTTAAGAAAATTGCTATTCCCAGGAATACAGATTAGAGTGCATTAAATAGAGGGGTAGAAATTATATATTACCATTTTAAAAAGTAACAAAAATAAAGACAAAACACCTAATGACTACCTTATGGAAACTCCCATTTGTTAGTCTTCAGGCACAAGAAAATATTTGACCTGTTTTGAGCAGCAGTGTTTTTTTTATAACATGCTTTTGTTGGATAGAAATCTTTTTTTCCTTCTGTTTGATCTAAAAGTCCAACTGTGTTAATTTAAAAAATTAATGTAATGCATTAAGCTTGTAATATGATTAAAGGTATTACCAGAACTTTATAGAAGTTTTTTTGTTTTTCTCATTCTGTTGGTTGCAGTTCCATGCAAAAATGTAACTGCATCTGGTTGGAAACTTAATATTTTTTTATCCTCTCTGGGGAAAATGCAGGAGGTTTTGAAGAAATTCATATTTTAATGGAAGTTTTTCTGGGAAGGCCTTTTGTGTGAGGAAAGGAAAAAAAGCCCCCTCGCTGCCCTAGAAGGGTTGATGGCCTGGTGTTTTGGTGTGCATCCAAAATGTCAGAGTCCTGTTGTCTTTGGAGAAGGGCTTGGAAACCTGAGTTTCTGATATTTTCTGTGGAAGTCTTGATGATCAGATTATCTATCTGGCAAGTGATCGTGCTGCCTACGTTTTCTCCTCCTCTTTCTTTTATGATAAGCTCCTTTTCCCAAAAGAAAATTAAAATAACTTAGACATACTTCCCTTTAGTCTAATAATAAAATTTCAAAAATTTTTTTATCGCTCTGAGAAAGGAATATTATTTTCTGATCAGTCTTAACAGTAATGCATAGATCCATTGTTCGTGTTGTCCATTAATGAGAAAAGTATGATAAGGATATCGTTTGCTCTTAGTAATGAAATTGAAGCAACTGTGTGTAAGGAGGATACTCTGGCTGGAGAGCTCTGGAGCCATGGACAATTTTTGTGTTTATTCTACTGAGTATTGCAAAGAAGCACCTTGCTGTCTGTGCACTTGTAGGTGTACTTATTTTACTTTATTTATGCATAGTGGAAAGCTAGAGCTAATGTTGAAAATGTGAGAGCTTCTTTAAAAAATTCAAAACCAAACAGAAGTAAACAAGTTTGAGGGGAAAAAAACCCTCTTCATAAAGCCACAGTGACTCTCTATGGAAGATGTGTCTGATGTGTCTGTGTCACAGTCTGATGTGTCTAGATCTCTTTTCCATTCATACAGAAACATGAAAAAAATCTTAGCTGCTCTGAGTTACATCATCTCTTTTGAAGTGCAAATGCTAATTGAAATCAGTCAAATATCTGTCTAAAAGTATGCGTGCTAAGATACTGCCAGATCATTTTTTTAATGTACTTGAATACAGATATATCTGATTTTCCCTAAAGCTTCTATCAGTGGGGAAAGAAGAGTGATCCTTGGATCATGTTCCCTTGATCCTCACTTTTATTACTTCATGTTTTAATGTTTACCACTTAAATGTGGTTTTGAATGTGCTTCTGAATCACTATTTTGCAAAAAGAAACAGACATTGCAGTCCATCTCCAGCTGATTTCCCACCTTGCCTAAAGATTGGTGCTTTTCTCCTTTATTCTTTAGAAAAGATATTTTAAAATTAGGTTCTGCTTTCCAGATAAGCTGCTCTTCACTTTTAATTCAAGGGAACAAGAGGTAGCCATTGGTGTATGTTTGATCTCTTTGAAATATTTCAGTCTGCTATGTCATTCATTCAGATGTTTGTTGGATGGACTTGAAAGTATGCTTTGGTTGCTGTTTAGAAAAATCTAGTGCCCTGTAGGTGCAATACATGATAAAAAGAAGTAATGCCCAAGACCTATTGTGTGTGGATTGCTGCAAACTGCTTTGTCCCTTGCTGCTTTTAGCTTGCTGACCTGCAGAAAAGGTTGTCTCCATGTTTTCTTCCTGTTATCGATGTGAAATTCTTCATTTCAAGTACTTTTTCATTTTCCTTTGACCTGTTTTTATAGTTTTTAGTGCTGCCTGTTTAACACGTGTGCAGCAAACTGCTGCACTACAGAGTTCCTGCAGATGTTGGGAGCCAGTATGGCTTTTATAACTGCCTCTACAATGTTCAGTCATGGAAGCCTTGATTTAGGAAGAAGAAACCCAGTTCAATGATAAATATCTTCAAATGTCCTGACCTACACCTGGAAAAAACAGTATGGCATTTTCTTGCACTGTCTGTGTGCTGAGCTGTGTGGGATAGTTTACTTTTGTGGCTTTAAACACATTAGGTAAAGTTTGGAGCCATCCAGTAAGTGCATGTTCCAAGTTCCTTTTTGCATCTACAGCAATCCTCTTAATGTTACCTCTTTAAAATTCTTTGTTAGTAAATATTATCAGATAAAAGGTTTTTGCACTCTGTATTTCTGCTCTGAAAAAGTCCATGAAATGAACACAGTCTTACCAGCTGACTTCTGAGTTTAGGTTTTCTGGGGCTTTTAGCAGGTTGTTAACAACTACAAGTATGGCATTTTTAACCTTCTGATTTGAGGGGAATTTTGCTTATCAGATCACCTCTGTTTTCCTGATTCCTCTGCATATAAACTTGTCCTAAAGGAGAGCCATCTCTGGCCACATTTTGTTTATTATGAGTTCAAAAACCTGGAAATCTGAAAATTATTTTAGCAAGAGCCTTCCACTGTTGAAACAGTGGCCAGGACAGTACTATTTTTCATCTGTATTTTGCTATATTAATTTCATATATTTAACAAATGATAATTTTCATTATTTTCAAGACAAACGTCAGAAAGAAAAACCTTAAACAAAGCCATATCAGTGCATTTTTCTGGGAGTGAGGTTAGACATCAGGACTGTGTCACAGCCTGTGTGCTTGTGCCTGGAAGGGGGAGTTAAACTGTGGGGGGTAGCCTTTCACAAGAGTGTGCTAGGCAGTGTTTGCAGGACATAACATCTTTCTTTATGTGTTTCAGCTGGGTCTTTTCTCCCTGCTCTGGAAAATAGCGTTTTCTGTGACTTATCCTAGACCTTTCTCATTACTCCCATTTCTACCATCATATCCTAGGTATAAATGCAAGATGTTTCTTTCTTTTTACGGCAGTTTCTAAATAATGCTGACAAGTTTGTCAAGTAACCAAACCTGTACACAGCAGTTTTTTAGAAAGTGGGATAGAAAGGGAAATTAAATCAGCACTACTGGTCAAGAGTTGCATGGAGGTGTTTTCCAGGGGAAAGAATTCTAACAGTAAAGCCAGGACCCATTGGTCCTACTCTCTGTGCTGGTTCACAGATTGTTTTTGCCCCTTCCTTCAGGCCCACCAAAAATCTTGGCTGCAGGCACCTCCTGTTTGGGGTGGGGAGGGGATTAGAAATATAAAGATTTAGTATTCACTCTTTAAAGCTGATATTCTAGCTCTTTTTTTGCTAAGGTAGAATGAAAACCATAAACTATTGGTAAATGTCAACTAACCGCTAGACTTGAAAGAACCAGCAGCTGCTTTCTGCTTATGAAGCAGAGAAACTGTGTGGGAGGAGATGTAAAGAACCTCCTCAAGTCCCCACTATAACAGAGGGGCGGGGGAGAGACTGTGCTGAATATGGGGTTTAACCTTTAGAATTCTTCTTCTGTTCTCTCATGCTCTTAGACTTGTATGAAAATGCAAAATGGCAATTGATTTTTTTCAGGTAAAAACATCAGACAAAGGCCCCATGCCACCTAAAATTAATTTCTGATAAAAAATGGAGTACTCAGCTAGCCTGTATCAATTTTGTGTCTGTTAAAGATTTATGGTATGAATCTCATAAACGGTTTTCAAATTTATTTAATGAATAATTGTTTGCAAAGGGCTTGAGTGTGCCTCAAATCAGATGCAATGTTTCAATGCAACAATATTATTAACAGCATCGTTAGTGTAGTATTGAAATGGCAACACTTAAAAATTCATCTACCACACATCTGAAATGATGAGTTTGTCTTGAATACAAATAAGCATAGAGGAAATAGATTGGGAGGTAGTCATTCATGATGTATAAAATGAGATCAAAAATAGGCCACAGGTTTATGTTAATATAAATTGAGACAAATTCTATCTTGACAACACTGACCTAAAAGCTGTCTAAACAAAGCAACTAATGTTTATTCTGCTTCTAAAAGGAAGTCTGTATCTGCTGTTGAGAAAAGAAAAAGGGTTGTTCTGGGATGGCTTTTGGGGTCTTTAAGAAACTTATTTATAGATCCTTCGTCACTTTCTGATATGGAAAAAATATGCATAGCCTCATTAGCTCATGGCAAAAACTATTTTTAGCCCTTTTAAGGCTATTTGTGAAAACAGACCAGAAAATATTGAAAGAAAAAGGGTTGGATTGTTAGGGGTTTTTTTCCCCTGAAAATAGTAAATTACAAGACACTTAATAAATGTATCTGCAAAGTATGGTGGCAATCTGGCTTTCTAAATGGAGACCTTTCTGTAGCTAGATGCTGACTGTACTGGGCAGATGAAACAGCTCTCAAGGAATGATCAATATTGTTCAGTATGAGAAGACCGTTTTTACATGAACAACTCTCATATTAAAAAAAATACTAGAACTTCAACTCTGTTATTTCACCTGCTCTTCTTTTAAACATGTCCTTTTCTGTTTGCTGACTACTCCTACTATGAAGCACTTGCCACAGTCCTGGGAATTACTACTAACTCCCTAAGATGGGGGTGGGAAACTAGAACTGGTGAACAAGGGCTGGAAGGGTACCAGCTGGAGGATATTTGTGACAGATCAGAATAACAGGAAGAGAGTAAAAAAGAAATGGTCAGCACTTTTGGCTTTTTAAAAGTGGAGTGCAGATGACTTGCTGTTATGTTTTTGCCATGTCTTGTTTCCAGACTGCTGGCTTAGTCAGCCACGTCTTTAATTTGCCCCGTTTATAACAGCTGCTTTGGCTGC